TTTACCCCTACCTATTATTATTTAACGCAATCGCTTACATAAATTTTGAAAAATATTTAACGCTCGCTGGGATCGAACCCCCTAATCTAACACGCTAACCATTACACCAACTTAACGTGAGAGAATAAATACAAAATTGATTTGATAAGTTGCGACTGAGGAAAATGAAGACTTGAGCAGCAGAACAGTAAAGAAATAAATTATAATTCATTTTTAATGTTAAATAATTTATTTAACAAGGCAATATTTTCATTTTTTTATTTTATTAAAACTTAGGAACATAATTTTTCTTATTATCTAAAATATAGATAATATAGGTAGTAAAAAAAGACAAATAAATTTTAGTTTTTGTAAAAAAAAATCACTTATTTCTTTTAAGTTGTTGATAAAATTCTTAGATTAAAATTGTTAAATTTTTTTTAAAAATTAACTTAATTAATTTTTGTTTATTTTTTTAAAAAATTTAATTAATTGTTATTTACCTAAATAATTTAAAATTCATAAATATTATTATTAAATAATTATTACTTGATAAAATATTTTGCATGGAAATTTAATTTTATTATAGTTTTATTTGGTGTTAAAATTTAATTTTTACTTTGAAGTTTTGTCATAAAAACATGGCAAGACCGAGTTGCTCTAAGGAATGCCATACTTGTGGACAAACTGGCAAGGGCCTTTCCACTGCCTTTATATGTAGTTTTCTAGGTTATATTGCAAATATGACATAACCAAGTAACTGTCGTTTAATCTGGAAAATGCTAGACTTGTGGAAAAACTGGCAAGGGCTATGAGAGCCATACTTAAAGTAGAACTAAGTAGGGAAATTTCTGCACGGATCGCTCACTTTTTTTATTTTAATTCAAATTAAAAATTTTATATTACATAAATTATTTTGTAATTTTTTAATGAATTTTTTTAATAAAAAAAAAAGTTCTCTTTAATTTTCATACAGTCGCTCAAAATCATACTAACTTTTTCCTCTCGATATATTATAATTAAACCAATCACCATTGTGTAAAAAAAATTAATAATAAATTTTATAGTCATTAAATTCAGTTCTCTCGTTACAAAATACCGGCGAAAAATTAAATAAATACATATCTATTTATTAAAATTGTTTGCCGTTCATCATAATATGATCATCATGTTTAATGAGAGAATTATATCAATACACGGAAAAAATGAATTCAGTAGATTTTACATAACTATCACGGAGTAGCGGATACAGCTCTTTACGAAACTGAGTGTTGTAAAATGTCACGAAATATTCAGGATAAACTCCAGAAATATTCAGCATAAACAACGAAAGTTCTGTAGTTTATCCGAAAATATCCATCACATTTTACAAAACTCAGTTTCGTAAAGAGCTGTATCCGCTACTCCGTCACAGTTTTGTAAAATATACTGAATTAATTTTTTCCGTGTATGTGCATCGAGTTATTTTTTTCCCGAGATAAAGAGAATTTTCAATTTTATAACAATTAGAAAACCAGAACAAAAAACAAGAATTTTATTAAATTGAGTTTTAGTTTATCAAGGGAACAATTTGCGATAATAAATAACAATTCTATTAAAGTCGAGAAATGAGCCAAAAGTTCTGAACGTTCAAATGAACGAAATATTTTTTTTCAATTTGTAAATTACTAGAAATTTTAATGGCAATGTAAAACTGAACAGTAAATTAAAAAAATTTTAAATTAATAACTTCTTTTTAAATATTTAACACAATATTTTTGTAATAAAATTCGTATTTAAAGATATAAAGTATATATGTTACGGTCATTGGTGATTATTGGACATTATCGACAATGCCCACTGTCACTTGTCATTGTCGACATTTCCCGGATATTTTTAGCAAAATTCAGTGAAATACGATAGTGCCCGGGCATTGTCGACATTGACCACATACTTTTGGGCAATGTTATTTACAAATAAGAAATTATTGAACAGTAAAAAAAATCAGGAAAAGAAGCAGGCACAAAGCGCCTATATCTAGGGTTTCGTGGCTTTTTAAATTCAGATCAAAAGTTATTTGTATACAATAAATAATTTATAATTACATTATTTGTGAATTGCAATGGTTGCTATGGTAATAGTTGCTATGGAAACGGTTGCTATGGTAATGGTTGTCATGGAAACGGTTGTCATGGTAACGATTGCCATGGAGACCATATACGAGTGTACGACGGACGGACAGACATATGTATGACGGACAGACGATTGTTATGGTATCTGTTTCCATGGCAACCATACGAGTGTACGACGGTCGGACGGACGCCAAAGCGAAACTAGAAGGCTTTCGGCACTGGTCCACGAAACCCTAAAAACGATAAATTACAAGAAATGCTTCATTTATTTATTTTTGCAGAAAAGGCTGCTGTGTCATTTCGATGTGCATTTATAAAAAATTTTAAACACTTGCACTTATTTTTTTGCATATCCTGTCTTGCAGTTGCATCGTTCTCTTTTGAATTTAAGGGTAGATCCTAGTAAGGCAGCACCATCTATATATCGAAACAAAAATTTCAGAAAATTTTTTACAGTATTTACTTCAAGGAAAAAAATTTCTTGTAGCGAAAACACTACAAATTTCAAAAAAGACAATTCTATAGATTGTCATGTAGACTGTAATAAGAAAATTGTGTTTCAATCACACAAATTGGGAACAGCACCCTCTATGAAATTTGTTTGTTTCCCAAATCTCAGCGTTTTGTGAATACTCCAACCGAGTTTTATAGATGGCGTTAGTAGAGATCCTGATGATAACACTAGAAATTTTTTTCCGTGTTGAAAACAAGACAATAAAATGCTTTGTCCTTTAGGATAATTGATTATTGCCAAAAAATACACCAGCTAAAACTTATTTTGAATTAAAATAATGAAAAAAAAATTAATGTTGATAAATTAAATATGAGCACTTTTTTACGAAAAACTGTAACAGTACTTTCTCGGAAATAACAAACAAGAATGCAATTTTCATTTGGAGAATTAATAAAAACTAAAAAATACATCAGCTAAGATTCACCAATCACGAAAATAACAACAAAAACTTTTTTTTAACATAACATATCGACACTATTTTACTGATTTTGACAGCTAATTTTTTTTCATTATTTTAACTCAAAAAATGTTTTACCTGGTGTATTTCTTGACAATATTCTATTATCCTAAAGGACAAAGCATTTTATTGTCTCGTATTCAAGTAAATACTGAAAAAAAATTTTACGAAATTTTTGTTTCGATATAGGTGGTGCTGTTTTACTAGGACCTACCCTTAAATGGATGCAAGTTCACAAATTTTGTTAAATGAACTTGGTAAACCATTATAAACCGATACTCTTGTAAAAATCTACATTCATTTGAAGTTGTTTACGTTATTGTGTGATTAATTTTGTTTATTTCATGACGTATGAAGCTATTACATAGCATTTTCAACATTGCACAAGTTGGAGCGGGCAATGTCGATATTGCCCGGAAAAGTTAAATGATATGAATATTTTTAGAAATTACCCGGGCATTGTCGACAATGACCGTAATATATATATATATATATATATATATATATTATATATATTTATTGTTTTTATATTTATTGAATCGTGGAGTGTTTAACATGAAGAAAAAAAACGATGTTTTGGAGAAATATTTTTCAAACAAATACAAAAGAAAGATAATAAAGTTAGTTGAGAAGGGAAGAAGCTCGAAGGGTCGACACGGAAGGGATGAACACTTGGGAGTGTAGAGAAGAGTATACGACGACGAGTGTAGGGCTTCCAGGGCTTCCGCCACGACAAACCAACGTCGATCGCCTTACCCGTCGATCGTTTTGCTCCTGTCACCTCGCCTAAGTACTTACCTACCGCTCTCGACTGTCAGTGCACTTACACTTACATACCTATACGCATTTACCAATACCTCTAAAATGCAAGTTACTATCACCAGCCGATTAACGTCCCTTGTTGTTTCCCTTCTCAACTCAGGAAACTTGTAGTGATTGAACAATAAATTGAACAACTTCACGAGTTACATGCGAAAACCTCCATTATTCTACACAACACACACTATTTATAAAGTAAAATTCGTATATAAATACGAATGATAAATAAAACATAAATTAAAATGTAAAAAATTTTAATTTCACAATATTTAAATTTTATCTTTTTGCATTTTAATTTATTTTATAATAATTAAGTTATTTTTTATTCGTATTTTCACTTTGTTGGGAATTCAAATTTTACATTGAATCAACAGTAAATTATTATTTTTCCATGATTACTATGGCAAATTTTCCCCGTAGTTTATTCACAATATAATTTAATGCAATTTTCCAGTATATACATATATATCCTTTCATTGTTAGTATATCAATTAAAATCAACGTTCAGAGCAAGCGCATGGATTTTGTAAAAACAAACGTGATATTTTTGCTAAAATCGTAGCAATTGTTTAATTAATGATATTGTTGAAAAAAAAAACAGAATTCGAGAATATTCACTCTGTAAAACAATTTCACGTATATATGTGCATTAAACTTCGCTAGAGCTAAACGGATGAAACAGTGATTGATGGTTTAGGTAAATAAAAGTAAACCTCTGTTCGATTTAACAGTAACAAATATTGGATATTAAATAACAACCACAAAGCTTACAATTTTGAAATTCGTTGAATTGTGACAATGACCGATTGTCTATATATAGAATTTGTGGTTATTCTATTGTTAAATTTAACAACTATTTGTGGAAAGTGTATGCTTTCAATCTTTGATTTTAACAAAATAGTTTCATTTTGTCAAACATAATCAATTCAGTCCAATACTTTGCTAACAATTTTATTCAATTTCGTTTCAAATACATATTAGGACCACCTCAAAAATAAATAAGAAAATATTTTCTTCAGAAGAATTGTATCATATATTCTTTAAAAGCGAAGAAAAGAATATATTTGATTTAGAATAAAAACGAGGATCCTATAATCATACCATCTATTTCTCATTTCAGAAGAATTGGATGACGACAACCCAAACGACGACCGTCTCCATCGGACAAGAAGTCCCTCGAGCGGTGACGAAGCTCACGACGATCTTGGTGACGTGGATGACGGTCCTGATGGTGACGGTGAGGGCGAGTCAACTGGTTCCACAGGTCATCACGGAAACAGCAATGGAACGACGGGTCAAAATATGCAAATCGGTGATGGTCGCGATTCAGGGAGTATAAAACGTAAAAAGAAGACGCGAACCGTTTTCTCCAGGTCCCAAGTCTTTCAATTGGAAAGTACATTCGACATGAAACGCTATCTATCATCGTCGGAGCGAGCTGGTCTTGCCGCCTCTCTCAGGCTAACGGAAACCCAAGTGAAAATTTGGTTTCAAAATCGCCGTAACAAGTGGAAAAGACAATTGGCCGCTGATCTCGAGGCAGCTAATATGGTTCACGCTGCGCAACGTCTCGTGCGCGTACCAATTCTCTATCATGACGCATCAGCTGGAAATACTGTTTCCGCCAGTACAGGCAGTGTCTCCGTATCACCCCAGACTCAACAAACCCCAAATGCCACCCCATCGTCGCTTTCGCATTCCGTCGGTGTTGGACCGGTCAGCGTCGGTGTTGGCGTCGGCACATCCTGTGCACCCACCTCCGCTCAACAAATCTTCTACTCCCATCACCATCACCATCACCATCATCCGGGTCACGTACAAGCCCACAGTTTGCTGCCCCACCAAGTGCACCCTCAACCACCGCCTCCACCACCACCACCCCCGAATCCACAACCCCCTCCCTCCTCAACTCAATAACCTTCCCCCATCGACATTGCCCTCCCCTTTATTCGCCCCACCACACCAACAACATCCCATCATCAAACCTACCATCACTATTACCAAACGTTTCGTACTCGCCCAATTGTCCAACTAATTAATATCGACGAGTAAACGTGACGTTCACAATTATAATATGTTATATATAAATGTATATATGTATGTCTACGGTGAGATCACTATTTTCTATGCCCGTCCATAAGTGTAGTCTCAGATAGCGTGCTTAACCCTCATCTCGATGCGACTATTTCGATTTCGAGTGACTCTTGTACGCGCACGTGATATCTTTGCATCTCCTGTAATTTTTATTATTGTTTGTTTGCTGAATATAGTGTATTATGATAAGTGGAATAAATGAAAATGACGAATGAATATTCTAACAGTCGTTAGAATCAAAATAAAGACATTAGTTAAACTATATATATGTTGTGATGCTTCTCCCTCTCTCTCTCTCTCTCTGTCTATATCTATATATTAGGGCTCTTTCATAAAACTACTTTTATCAAAATATTTCGCGTTTGTAGCTCCCTTTCTTTTAATTATCGCGAATAACCAGAATAACATGAAAATTACCCAAATACCGAATTGTTATTAAACTAACTTTTTATTTAACCACATTATCCCATAATCAAACCCTAATTTATCTAAATCGTCATTTGACCCTGTCATTATATTTAACAAAATTGTCATTTAATTAAACTAAAATTAAAGCAAATTATTATTTAACCAAATCTAATTTATTTAAATTGTTATTTAACTGAATTTTCATTTGTTCAAAATATTATTCAATTAAAATGATATTTAACGAAGTTTTTATTTAACCAAATTGGTATTTAATCAATTTTGATTTAATATTAATTAATATTTAAACAAATATTTAAACAAATTTTCATTTAATAAATAAATTATTTAACCAAAATAACATTTAACCGACTTTTAATTAAACTGAGTTTTTATTTTAAAAAATTTTTCATTTAATCAATTTTTATTTAGCCGAATTTAACCGACTTTTAATTAAACTGAGTTTTTATTTTAAAAAATTTTTCATTTAATCAATTTTTATTTAGCCGAATTAATATTCAAGCAAAATATTTGACAGACTGAGCTAAAATTTTGTAAGGAACTCAAAAATAATAAATTTGGAAACGTTGCGTTATTATTTATGTGCCAAATTAATAATATTTTATGAAATAATTTGTAGTTAAAAGTTGCATATTTGAGGAAAATTCAATATGTCGGCAAAAAGATTTTAGGCATTTCCATAAATATGCAATTTTTTAAAAATAAATTTTTTGCAACAACTAACCTCTAAAGTTAAATTTTACACACCGAAAAGTGTGTGGAAAAAAGCTCTTTTTAAAACGGTGTAAAGTGATTCACTTTACGCACTGAAATTTTTACTTTACGCACCGAAATTTCTCTCATATAATATTAAGGATTGTTTTAGACCATACAAAACCACAAAATTAAAAAACGAACTTTACTTTTAAATTTATACACTCCTGCTTAATGATATTTTTCCTGATCTTCAATTGATTTTTTTAATTCCATACAATCGAAATTATTCTAATAGAGTTGGAATTCTTCATAATAGGTACACTTAACTTTAGAGGTGGGTGCGTTGTAAAAAATGTTGTATGATACACGTGCGTACATCTGATTATACTCGTATAATCACTCACTTTACGCACTTGTATCATAAATAACTATTTTGACAAAATATTAATATACTCTGGCATCTAACAAATTTTTGAGTTCTTTAAAAAATTTTAGCTTAATCTATATGAAATATTTTACAAGAAAATCTGCGGAGAAAATTTAGATATGAATTCACAATAATTACATGATTTTACATCAAAATTTTAAATAACCAAAATAACACTTAACTGACCTGATATTTATTAATTCAGTGAATTTTTATTTAATCAAAATGGTATTTAATCTAACTGACACTTCACCGTACTCTCATTTAACCAAATTAAATTCAACTAAATTATAATTTGACCAAATTTTTTTATTTAAAAGAAATATTACTTTACCGTACAGACATTTAACTGCAATGTTATTTAACCAAATTTAAAATGAATCGTTTTTTTAAAAAAAAAAATTGTCACTTAAAAAACTGACATTATAGCAAATTTCCATTCATTCGAGTTGTTTTTTTAACCACATTTTGTCATTTAAATTTTAATAACATAATTTAAGAACGAGCCCTATAAGTGAAACTTGTTCCTATTCCCCCGATTCTATCCTAATGTGAAAAATCTTCCTATTTTTCAAATCCCACACTGAAAGAAAAATATCATTGATTCAAGAAAATTATGTTTTCGTTCTTATTTGATTCATTAGTTTTCTTAATTTAAGAAAATTTACTTCAAATTAGTAAAAATTTCTTGAATCAAGAAAATATTGTTTAAAATACTGACAAGTAAATGGGTTTTCTTTATTCAATACCATTTTTTTTCGAGTGCACGCAAAAAATATATTGTACAAAATTATCAACAAATATATTGTTCTTATGACTAAATTTTTTTTAATATTTAAACTTATTGTAAATAAGGCTTACGGGCAATGATTCAATACTGTGAAATATATTAGAGAAGAAAAATTTTAACTGAGAGAATTTTAACATCTCTACCACTTTCTACATTTTTTTTTTTTTTTGAGGAGGAGGAGGTTATATAAAGAGCGTGCGCGGAAATTATTACAGCATTTTGTTTTTCTAACTATCTAGGAATATATAAAGAAAATATTACTTTAAATTACTCCAATAACTGAATTCCCCGCTCTGAAAAACAAGAAAATTGTCCACAATTTTTAAAAGGAAAAAAATTTATCTTTTGCTGAATTTTTATTTTATTGAAAGTTAAAAATTTTTAAAAGCCATCTTTTATTGTACCCAGTCATCCTCTACTTTTGTTCGATATTTCACAGTTGTGTAACTTCTTTTATTGCGCACACTAAAGCTGCATATTTTTTTTCTGTGCGTTTCATCTCAATTTATGAAACAATGGGCTCATATACCCCTTTTTTTCTGTACACGTACCCTTCAAGCATATCTCAACCTGGGCGAAAGTACAAAACAATGTCGACGAATCTACACACCGGTTGAATTTTAATTCACCAGTTTTCGAGTATATACTCTGAATCATATTTCTTTATTTTCAACCTTTTAGCAAAACAATGCGCTTTACATTAATGCAATAAATTACAAAATAACTATTCTTTCATATATACCTAAATCCATGCAAAAAAAATATATTCATGTATAATGTATATATGTAATATATAAATTATGTACCATTTCAGAAAAATGTCTAAATTTTTACATTTAAAAAATTACTTGATTTAACATAATATATCTGATATTCGAAATATTATTGAATAAATATTTATTTGAATCACATTATTTTTAATCTTTATTATTTTTATCTGCGTACAAAATAATTTTTATTTGAATCAAATAAACTATGTAATCGAGAGCCAGTAATTTCTGTTATTTTTAAGTAAATAGCATTTAATTAACTAAATGATAAAGAAGATTGAGATTTACTAACTTTTGAATACTTTATACAAGGTGTTCCAAAAGTATGGAAACTTGCAAATATCTCGAAAAGTACGAATTTTCGTAAAAAATGTTCAATACAAAAGTTGTTCCAAACAAAAAGATGTACATCTTTGAAACCAAAAAATTGGGCCCGCAGCCCAATGTTGTGCCCTACAATGAAAAAAGTAGTTTTCTTAAATGAGACCACTAATTTTGAATATCAAATTCGTAATCCCCATGAAATTCTGCGTTCAGACATGTGGTATAAGTGCCCAAAATATTGGGCCCAATCCAAGATATCGGGCCCAACATTTTTCGACAAAGAAATAAATTTAAAAAATCGTATCTTTGGGGGTTTTTGGGTTCACACGATTACAAAATTCAAAGCTACTTTTCAAATTGGGCCCAGAGCCCAATGTAGGATTCCGCGGCCCAATGTAAGGTCCACAGTAAAAAAATTAGTTGTCTAAAATAAAACCCACTAATTTTTAGTATCCATTTCGTAATCGTCATGAAATTTTGGATTTAGTTTTGTAGTACAAATGCCAAAAATATTGGGCCCAATATTTTTGGCATTTAGACTAATTTTTTTACTGTGGGCCTTACATTGGGCCGCGGAATCCTACATTGGGCTCTGGGCCCAATTTGAAAAGTAGCTTTGAATTTTGTAATCGTGTGAACCCAAAAACCCCCAAAGATACGATTTTTTAAATTTATTTCTTTGTCGAAAAATGTTGGGCCCGATATCTTGGATTGGGCCCAATATTTTGGGCACTTATACCACATGTCTGAACGCAGAATTTCATGGGGATTACGAATTTGATATTCAAAATTAGTGGTCTCATTTAAGAAAACTACTTTTTTCATTGTAGGGCCCAATTATTTGGTTTCAACAATGTAGATCTTTTTGTTTGGAACAACTTTTGTATTGAACATTTTTTACGAAAATTCGTACTTTTCGAGATATTTGCAAGTTTCCATACTTTTGGAACACCTTGTATAACGTTAAACCGACAAGAAATTCGTATTTTCTTTCGCAGAAAATAAATGAATAAATAATGAAAATTAAAAACTTTTGATACTTAAATTATCAATATTTTTTTCGATTTTCTACAAAGAAATAACTACACGAAGAACTAGAACCTAAAATTCTCTCTAAACAAAGATCTATTTTTCAGTTTATGAACAAAGTATTCTAAAATGCTAAAAATCTTTTTTCCGTTATTGAATCACAAGTAAAATTTGAATTGACTTCTATTTAGATCAATAAGTCCAGTCAAAATTATATTCTACTTTCATTTCGTAACAGAATCAAAATTCATTCATAATTTTGTTTTGTTTTCAAATATCCAAACGAAAATAAAATTCTACTTTCATGAAGGTCCCTGATTTGAATGTTACTTCCCAGATAGCACGTAAACTTGCAGAGACCTAGTGGCAAGCTTGCCGCGCAATATTGTCAACCTTGCACGGCAAACCTGCCACAAGCTTTCTGCAAGCTTCAAATGTCCCACCTGACTCAAGCTTGCATGATAAGCTTACCGAAAAATTGCAGTGTAAGGTTACTGCAAGATTGCACAATAAGATTATCGCAAGATTTCTCAGTAAGCTTGCACGGTAAGCTTGTAGCAAGGTTGGTGCAAGGTTGCCAAATAGCCTTGCTTTAAACATAAAAAAAAATTTTTATAATGTTTCGTTTAATTGTGCAATCTTGCAGTAATCTTACACTGCAATCTTTTGGTAAGCTTACCATGCAAGCTTGGGTCAGGTGGGACATTTGAAGCTTGCAGTAAAATTGCGGCAAGCTTGCGTGCTATCTGGGTTCACTGCAAAAAAAGTATCTTATTTTAAGATGTTATTTTGAAGCATTTTCAGGACATCAAAACATCTTAATGTCTTAAAAACGCTACCAAACATCTAAAAAATACTTCTTTTTGCCAACAATATTGAAGAATTACAAAATTAGGTGCAATCGTTAGGTAATTGTTAGGTCCACAATGTTAGTTTTCTCGACCACTTTTCTCGTATATAAAATACTGAACGGATTGAGCTGTAATTATGAAGGGAAGTTTAAAATTTAACAATGTTTTATATAATAATTATTTCAATAAATATATGAACAGTTTTGCAT